AAACAACAAATAACACTCATACATATGACATAATAATCATACAACTACTGTGGAGGTGGTAGAAAACCCGACTTCCTCCTAAACTCGGGCCACATGTTCCCAACTCCATGACATAAGTCGTAGTACTCGTTGGCGCTAGCCATCCACTCCTCCCTACTACCCTGTGCAGCATCCATCACGGGAGATATCTCAACCCACATCTCGCGTGACAACTGTAATAAAAAACCATACAATTTAAATACATATTAGTTACAAATAATTTAAAATATAATTGTACTAACCGTATCAGCATCCGAGATGTCATCAACAGGTCGGCTGTCACTCAGTATATGTGGGTGCGAGTGCCTAATGTACCACGACATGTAATTCTCAGCAAACTCCCATAGCCTACATCGTATCGGAGTAGAAAAAAGGTCCAGATGCACACTATGCGCCCCCAAGTTGTTCCAATACGAATCATAGACAGACTGGTAGCTAAGAGAGTATCCAAGCGTGGAAGCAGGTCGACGCACAACAGCGGACGCTCCGGTGGATACGGTACTCCCTGCACGTAGCCTAACTGTCGGAGGCACCTGTGGGATCATAATATTCTGCTATCTCTGCAAATCTGAGCAGGCCCTGATACAAGGTACGTCTCACCGTCAGATGAGGACTACGACCATACGGAGTCCAACTAACTGACTGAGGGGTCAAACTATCAATCGCCTGCCGATAATAAGCCAGCATCTGTGCATCCCTCCTCTTACTCGACCGGGGTGCTGTACCGCGCCACCTGAATGCTCCTGCCTGCCCCCGCTCCAGCTCTCGTGGCTCCAACCGACTAGGCCTCAAAGTAGGAAAGTGGTCGTAAATCCAACACTGTAGTAAAGTCAGACAACCCGACACTCCCTTAGCCTCCGCCCGGGAGGCAATACCAAGCTGCCTGTACAGATAAGCAAGTGCTCCAGCCCCCCACGCATACTCTCCTAGCATATCCGGCCTCTTCACAAACAAGTTCACAACAGCAGAAACGCGGTCCTTACTCTTATCTACGAACAGTGTGGACCCAAGCAGCAAAAGAAGGTAACACTGAGCCTCTCTAGCTGGCGGACCAGACTGCTGCAAATGAGTCAAAGCTCCCACACCCAACAAACCAAATCCTCTGTACCACCTAGACAGACTAGCAACCTCGCCAACCTGCGCCCCGTACTCATCCTCGTCACGATCTAATCCCAGTAGTGCTCGGATGTCAGCCTCCAGTGCAAACTTCTCCAACTGCCTCGGATCCACTACCATCGCCTCTCCGTCAACCGCAAGCCCAAGAATGTGTGCCACGTCGTGAAGGAGGATCGTCATCTCTCCAAACGGCATGTGGAAGGTGTTAGTATCCGGCTGCCACCTCTCCACAAATGCCGAGATGAGTGCAGGGTCCAACTCGCTCTGGAAGGTGATATCAACGAGGTGAGCAAGGCCCGATGTCTCTACGGTAGTCCTAGCGTTATCATCTGCTATCTGATAACCACCGAGAACGTGACAAAGGGTCGCACTCCTGTCGTAGCAAGTGATCACCCCTCTATCAGCCTCTCCCGTGTACAGACGGTGGGCAACATGCCCAAGAAAGCTACAGAGCAAACTCGGGTCGCTCGGCCCTCCAGGACACGGTCCTCTAGGCTCCCAGGCCTCTCCTACATCAGCAGTAGAACTCTGGCCCTCACCAGACTGTGGAGCTCTATAGAAACACCCTGCATGGTCTCTATAGATCCCAGTAACAGCATGAACCCCAGTAACGACAGGTGACGCAACGCTGGGGGCACCTCTGTCTCTGATCGGACTGACTCGTGGAATACGTGTCTCAACAGCATCCGACTCATACTCCTCCGACTCGTCGTCAATCTCGCCTGAAGGCTCAAACGGTGAAGTATGATGATCAATACTGGGACCAGCTCCACTACCACCCATACTAGGCATCCGAAAATCAAACTCAGGGAAACCGTCTGCCCTATATCTCATCGGTGTCACCTGTGGCTGTGGCTGTGGCTGTGGCTCATCTCCATCATTTCGGTCCTTATTTCTCACACTAGCGCTAATGTTACGCCCAATGAATCTTTTCAATCTCTTTCCTGGTCCTCCAAACTACGTGATCCTCCAGAATTACCAGATGACGCCATCTCTAAATATAGACAATAATTTTCTATTAATATCTTATTGGAAATTATTTGTTGAGCAATTACTTGTTGTTCATAGAGTAACTATGATACATACAATTTTTTATCTACTTAACATTTCGTTTGATGTTATCTACTTAATTGAATTAATATGTTATAATAAATTATTAGATTAGCAATTTCTTCATAGTCATAATTAATCAATTACTAATTATGATACATACAACTTGGTTATCTAATTAATTTATCAATTACTAATTAATTTAACTAGATAGTTATTCAAATAATTATTTCAACTTACCCAATTAATAAACTAACGCATTATATAATTAATTAACAATTATAATTATTTCAACTTACCCAATATATAAACTAACACATTATATGTTCCAATTAACAATTATATACAAATTAATCAACTATCAATATTAAACTAATTAATATACTAACAATTGTATTTAAAATAAATCTAATAAATATTTCTTTAAACCGAACCATTCAAACCGAATCAGAAACGCAATCAACCGGCCCGACCAGACCGGGCGGACGGGGTCCGACCAGACCGGGCGGACGGGGTCCGCTCCGACCGGGCGGACGGGGTCCGCTCCGACCAGGCGGACGGCGTCGAGACAGTATTAAAAAAAAAAATACCTCGACGCCGACGACTGGAACAGCGGCGGCTTCGGCTTCTACTGGCCGGCGACTCCTGGGCGGCGACTGCGAGCAGAGGGGGAAGTCGGCAGCGGCGGCGGCTTGAGGAGGGGGAAGGCGGCCGGCTCGGATGGGGGAAGGCGGCCGGCTGGGGAAAGCTCGGCAGAGGGGTGGGGTGGGGGTTGGTGCAGCGGCAGGCAGGGAGGGGTGGGGTGGGGGTGGGGTGGGAGTAGTGATGGCAGTTTCAACCCGCCCCGCGGGTATTACCCGACCTGACCCGCGATGGGGCGGGTATTACCCGACCCGCAGTAGCGTGGGGCGGGGCATGGGTATCTACTTCTGACCCGCCCTGCCCCGCCCCGCCCCGTTCTAGACTCATTTTATCTCAATTTCTTACAATATCTATACATATTTCTCCTATTTTGACTTTTCTTCAACTAGTTAGAATCGATTTTTCAACTTGTTAGGCTCAATTATCCATTCTATTATCAATATGTTTCATTCTTAAAGTGTTTTTCCCTACATTTTATTGTAAAAAGTAAAATTTACTTGTATTTTTTTTGAACAACATGTAAGAGTGGGTCGACCCGCCCCGCCCCGTACCCGCGCGGGTTTTGCCCGCCCCGACCCGTAGTAGCGTGGGGTGGGGCATGGGAATTGAGGTACCCGCCCCGACCCGCCCCATTGCCATCACTGGGTGGGAGGGGTGTGGGGGTGGGGTGGGAGGGGTGGATAGATAGGGTTAGGGGGCAGGGGCAATTTTGTCTTTTCTGTTCTAACTATGGGCGGCAAATAGTAAAACGACGGGCGGCAAATAGCGATTCAGTTTTTTTGTGTCGTTTGGAATTCTTTGAAGCTTGTACCAGTTTGATGCGCTTTGGTTTGTTTTGGAATTAGTTGGTTGGGTTTAGGGTTCTCAATAATCAAGGATGTTTGTTATGGATTTGAAGATCAAGAATTCAATTTGGAGTTGCATGCTTGGAGTTAGCAGTAAATTTGATGTTGGTGTTATGCACGAAAATAACACCAAGTGGGTTGGACTTGCTGCATGTTTTGATTTGTTAACCGCCCTTAGGGGCATTTGGAGGCAGGGGAGATTCTGGTACAGCATATTTGGAGGAGTTTGGTACGTCTGCCAATTTTGATTGCATCTGAGTTTGGCGATTTGCATTGCATTTGAGTTTGGCGGTTTCGATCGCATCTGGGTAAATTTGGCAATATGTATCGCGTGTGGGTACATCTGGCAACTTTGGTTGCGTCTGGTACATCTGGCAACTTTGGTTGCGTCTGGTACATTTGGTATTTGACAGAGAATTCAAGTCAAGGTGTAGATTGTTAGGATATGACTTGAATTTGATTTGGGTTTGTTTGGTGTTTTGGACCTATTTTGTTTGGGTTTGGGCTTTGTTTTGCCATTTTCCTTGTATCTTTGGGAAAGGTGTTTGGCTTTCTGTTTGGGATTAGGATAAAAGTTCTATAAATACACTTCACCACCCTAATATGTAGTAAGGTCAGTCGGATTAGTTTGTTTGGTTTGTACGTTTGGAATTTGGTTTGTAACCTGTACTCTCCTCAAATCAGTGAAATTTGTTCTCCCCTGTCCGTGAATTAGCTAGCACACATTGTGTTAGTGAACCACGTTAAATTCGTGTTCGTTTGTGTTCATCTGTATTATCGATTGCACGATTCCGTTCTGACAGTTATTATTGGGTTAGTGACCTTAAACTCATATACCGTGTCAATTCCGTTCTGACAATTATTATTGGGTTAGTGACCTTAAACTCATATAATGTGTCATTTTTAACAGACTCATCCTTGTACATCGATCGATTGTTCATAACAAGTTACTGATCCATAGCCCATAGGTGTTGGTGACTAATTTCATCCATATTATAGATAAGATCAACGTATGGTTAGTAATTAAGCATGTCATTGATGTCTCACTTTCATGATATGCACAAGTTCTTTTTTGTTTGTTTTGCTCCACTATTCGACGCCCGATCTCACATCCACCACCAATTTTGATTTCACGTTTGTTAAGACTGATTTTTATTAATGAGACCCATGTTGAGAGGTAAAACGCAGGATTCACAACATATATGTGAATCCCTGACATGTGAGTCATCAATAACATATACATACCATTAGTAACCAAAATAGACCGAAATTTTAATACATGAATATGGACCTGTCATTAGTACTGTACAGTAGTAGTATTCGTTGGCAGTAGACTTGATAAACAATTCGCATTAGGAGTGAAGATAAGCAGCTTTTGCCCTAACTAGAGATAAACAATTCGCATTAGGAGGTTAATATACTAAATTAGTCTGTGTGATAAGCAATGCCATCTATCCTAATAGGCAGATGAGAACCATACGTTTTTTTAAAAGGTTTCCTAACAACATGCTTCCTCGATCCAAGTAGACTGGATAAAAAAAACATCCAAGTGTTTGCGATGTTAGTTTCTGACTTTGACGTCAAACATCCACTTGATGACTTGGGAAATTGTGTACAGTACACTCTTGAATCGAAGATTCGTGGGGTTTAATGTGTGATTATAATAATATGCTACCTAGGAAAGAACTTAAGCTAGCTGACTAGGACATGATTCACAACCTCCAATCCTATGTTCCGCACTGTTCTAGGGGCTGCCTGAACTTATGGGATTGACTTTTCCTAAACTGAATAGACAATGAAGTTTGTTTCCTATGACGAAGTACTCGGGCGAGGGTAAAATTTTGATTACCATGACTCGATTATAACTCAGACATCCGAGTTTTTCCGCCTAAGACCCCGAGAGAGAAGATAAATTCTAATTACCATAATCTATGATTTGATCACAACTCTGACTCTCCGAACGAGAGTAAACTTTGATTACCACAATCTATGACTCGATCATAGTTCCGACTCCGTCATAATTAACTCAAGACACACAACTCGGGTTCTAGCTTAAAACCATGATCATCAAACATTGGACCACACTTAAGGAGGGTGAAGCCAAGATAACGTAACAGACTAACAGTCACAATCTCCATGCCCTAGTGGAAAAGTGATGCACACCAGTCCAGTCTAGGAAAGCCAATACGAGTACTGAACCATTTCCTCTCAGAATTCTGGCTAGTTGAGTTGCAGCTAATAATAATAAAGTGAAGTGCACACCATTACCTGAAGCTCACTACAAAATTGATGACTCACCTTGCACCTTGTCACACACGGGTTCAGGCCCCATGATGTGTTTCTAAATCTTTAATCATCTTTTCCTGCATACAACTAACTAAACAAAACAAAACACCTCGATATAATTACATTATCCAATTCCTTATCTCGTTAATAGAGAATCAAACTTTTGGGAGTGCTGTAACAACAAAGTGCACTCTTTTCTCTCATTTTTGGCTCATTAGTAACAAAAGGCAGGCAGCTAGTCTATGTTAGTAGGTAACGTGGTTCACAACCGAGGGAAAAAGAAGAAATGTACCTTCAAATAACGCAACGATACTTCAGCAAGAGTGCATGACAGAGTTTCCCAAGAAAATGAAATGCTCTAACAGTTGAGAACCACCTGTTGCCAGGGGGAGCAAGTCAGCTTGGTGCAAGTAGCGTTACTTGTCTTGGCTAAAGAAGGAAACAGTTATGCTAGGCTACCCGTGAAAAATCACTTGATCTAAATCTTTGTTCATAAATGTTGAGCCCTCCAATCGACCGTGAAATCTTCATCATCGTCACTGTCACTGGATGTGTCCTCATTGGTGGATCCCTTCTTGGCAACCTGAGAATCCCTGCCTTTGACACGTTTGGCTGACTTGGCAGCCATCAGCTCCATTTTCTTCCTCTTCAATTGTTCCACCTTTTGCATATAGACCCTGATATGCAAGGTATTGTGTGAGATAGAAGAAAGAAGAGTACGAAGTTACAAGAAGGTTTTAAGACAAAAGAGCCAGTATTGAACTTGGGCAATTAATGAAATGAACTCACTTCTGCTCAACAGACTCGGCTTCTTCAATCTTTTCAGCAGCGTCAAACTGCAATTAGAGACATTGGACCATTTACAAGGGACGTTGAGGGGTTTAAAATTGTTAGTTTATTGTACATAATGACAATCTGAAGTGAACAGTTCTGACCTCCTCTTCCTCCAAGCGGTCATCAACCTCCCGCACGTCTTCTTGGATCAGTTTCTCAAATTCTTTATACTCATCACTGACAAGAATTAAAATAAAAATTCAATATCAGCCGGATAGTGTTGGCAACAAACAAGCAATACTTTCTACTTACATCCTTCTAGGATAGAAAAACATCAAACACTAGTTAAAAGCAAACTCACTTAACATCAGGCTTGACAATCTTTATCCCACGAGCATGTAAATCAGCTTCCTTGTTGTCAAAGAAACCTTCAGGAAGAGACCCCTTCACCTGCTTGATTTCTGTATCAGTGGCATTTGTTTGTGTCTGTACATAAGCCCTACCTTCCTCAGCAGTTAGCTGTTGTGAACCACTAACAGTAGGTAAAGCTTCTGATTTATCTTCCACAAGAGACTCGACTTTCTTCGGTTTAAGAGAGCCACCCAACTTTGTTTGTGGATCTGAAAATGAATTTCGGATTTGTTTAAATCTCACCAACCTAATTTTATATAGAACCCAAATAATGTTTACAATCAGAAGAAATGGCAGACGTCTCCAAAATTTGGTAAATACGACGCTCAAGTCATAGATAAAAAACTATGTCCAACAGGTAGCTCATAGTTCATCCATAAGAGCGGGTCAGATTTAGAGAACAAATCAAAAAGTTCAGTACAAAGGGGTTAGCAGTACCCTCTTTCTTGCATTTAAATAAGAACTATAAGACAGCAACTGAATTTTGTTATAGATGGGAACTGTAGGATGTCTTAGGAAACCAGGCAAGGCATTATCTCCAATACCCTCGCTCATCAAATTTTCAGTGTATGAGTCTGTAATTAAGCGATTCTCAGTTCCAAGTTTGAGACAAAAATTTAAACATTCATTGGCTACTAGTAAAAGAATTCAAATACATTCATCTTGCTTTTCTACTATTCCACTAAACTTTATGTTAAGCAGAGAAGCTATAGTACCAGTTTTGTGTGCCTTGGTCCCATTATTGTCAAAAAACCCCGGAGGGAGTGCAGATGACGACTGTGGCTTTGACACTTTTGTTGGTGGCTCAGCTTGCACAGTAGCAGCATGCAACTCTGCATTGTTTGCGGATGCAGATCTGTTTGATTCAACACGAGGTACAGGCTTTGAATTGGTTGCGTCGGTCTTTCGAGCTGCATTTGCCTTCAGATTATCTATCGCCTGTTGTTTAATCACATTCCACCTAATCAATTTCAGTAACTAAGAAGAGACAACTGACATACTACACACTGATGATCCTTAATCTGGCAGTCATTTCATGCTGATGCCTATAGATAAAAGCCACTAAAAACTTTCTAGCAAGCCTAGTTACAGTAAACCATAACCGTACACCAGCACAATTAGATCACATGGGGAAAACTGAGACATGACCTCACGATGTTTGCGAGAAGCTTGATGTGCATCCCACTGAGACTCCTTCAAAACAAGATTGCAAACCCTACAAACTGGTTGATCGGATTCATTATACCTGAGCAATAGAGCAAAACGAACCTGCTATAAGCACCAGGTAGCGCAACGAAACGAAAAGGATGAGCACAAGCAACACTATACTCAACGCCAAAGTCTAAAATTCAGTCAAGGACCATTGACGACGATCCGAAACTAATACTGCTAAGCTGACCATTCAACAGTAACAATAACAATCCACGATAAACTACTAGGAAACTAGCGGCAACCGATCAAATTCTCCGGCATACCACAGCACCGGGCCAGAAACGTAGCAGCGACAATTCCTAGGGTTTCCGTTCTCCGCAGAGCGCAAAAGCGAAAAGTGAAGGAGATTTTCGGGTGGCGGGGTTACCTGACGAGAGGAGAATCGATTCGTTTGTCCTTCTTCTGAGCATTCAATTTAGCTCTGTAGAACGCCTTCTTCTTATCCATTGCTCTCTTCTATGCCGCAGGAGTTTCCGACTTCCACCGGCGGACGACCGAGCGGCACGAATTCTTTGAACTGGAAAGTGGAACTCAGCTTCGCCCGATAATCGCCTGGTCTCGGTCGCTCCCGCTTCAACTGGGCGAGTTCCTTTTCGCTTTTCTTTTTCCTTCTCAGTTTATCTTATCTAACGGGTCGGAACTCAGGAAGGAGGCCCAGTTTGTGATACGCTTTCTTTGGACCCACTAACGCCCATTGGCTTTCCAGGAAGGCCCAGTGGATCGCCGTCTGGGTCCATTTTCTTCCTACATTCATCCAATTCCAGCCTTAATCGATCATCAAAGATCCAACTACCTCCTCTCATAGCATTACTAGTACAAGATGTAGGAGAGCAGGATTTGCAAAAGGCCGCAAAACAGGCGGTAGACCATGGAAGTTGACACAAAATGGTCAAATGGAGTCTTCAGTTCAGTGAGTCATTCATCCTTTCTGGGGTCGTTGTGTAAATTTCAATTTTCCCGGTGTTTTACTTTTATCCCACTTTCCAGCTCCGTTTTCTTTCCCATTTCCGATAAAAATATAATAATTTCCCCCCTTCATTATTTTGTGCCATAATTTCCAAAAGCCTTGATCTTGAAGAAGTTAATAAGGACCGGAGTGCGACTGAGAAGTTAACTAACGAATCGCTTTATACAAAAGAACCCATCTTTTCCTTCGTCGTTTTCTTGACTTCTTCTCGTTCTTCTGCAACTCCTTTTTCCCTTGCTACTTTCTTCACAACGCCCAATGAAAATGTCTCTCTTCCGCAGACAAACATGCCGCAATGCCATATTGTTTTAATTCTCTTCTTGAAACAACAGATTCAACTAGCATTGAAGGAAACTCGCATTTCCACAGACCACAGGGTCTGGTCCTCGTCCACATTTCTTGTGGACTAGTATACACTATCCAGAAACCAGTTACAATCTTAACTTGCACACGCCAAGCAAGTCTATAAAGGCAGATAAAGCCGAGTCTTCACTACCTAAAAGGGAACCTAATTTTTAATCAAACTGGAATCAGTGACTTCACATGTGCCGTGTGAGGAAGAACGAACCCAGCTCTCCTCTCTTCAAATGAGTACTCGATTTCTTCAGCAACCGTCTCTTCAACCACTGACTTGAAACCACCAAAATGAACTGGCGCTGCTGGAGTCATGGCTGTTTGCATCGGTACTGACACCGTGGAGGGTGTCATGGCAGACAGTGGTAGTACCCTAGGAGTTCTGTTTTCTTCCTCAGCAAGGTAAGCAGTGGTTGTGGTAGTGGTCTTTGAAGGAGTCATGAACAACTGGTCATTCTTCTTGAATGCACATCCATGAGCTGCTCTGGCTGGCTCTTCTAACAAATTAGCTTTGGATGATTTTGTGGTAGAGATGGGCGAAAATGGCTTGCGCAGCAGCATTGCTGGATCTGGTTCTCGGCCATTTGCAGTGCCAAATGACTGAGCTTTCATGGGCAGACCAGCTATATCCAGACCTCTCCTACCTGCAAAAAATATTTTGAAGCAAAACTAATCTCAAATGATATTGTCTACCAGGTAAAACAAACCAACCAAGTAATACTGCATGCCGAAACTAGTAAACTAACTCTTACCATCACAACTATTGTTTAGAGTTAAGCTTTTCAAAATGTTGATTTGCAAAGAACAGGCCATTTGACTGAATTAATGTTTTAAAAGGAGAGGACCTACTTCAACAACGAGAAAACTGTGAATGAAGAACCCAGGTGAAGATTTATGCTGAACCCGATGAAGATTGGTGAGCCGTTAGAAGTCGGTTTCACTAATATCATCTTCAGCAATGAGGAAGAATTGAAAATGAAAACATGTTTAGTGAATAAAACCCAATTGATCAAACTTTTTCGCCCAAATATAACTTTTCCCAAGACTACTAACCAGCAGATAAGTTAGAGAACGTATCATCGTGATACTGACTTAGGGAGTCATTGTGGTTGTTGATCTTCTTGGCAGACCGGCAATTCAATGTTCTGCTAGAGAGGGTCTTGTCGAGTTTTGGAGTTTGTGGCATTGCTCCTCCAACGGACAGTCTTCGATTGGTTGCACCTCCTGTTGAAACTCGAGAGCCCTTTTTCATGCTTAGGTTCTTGGATGGACTTGGTTTTGATCCATAGAGAGCCTCTTGTTCTGCTATTAGTTGTCCCTGCAGCTTCTTTTGATCCTATAGTGGAAAAGCAATGCAAAGTTCCAAAAGTGATCAGCATAGTAAAGAAAATACAGCCTCACTATACACAATATTCAGCAGACACACTGTTGCAAAGAAATCCATGGGATAAACTGTCAGATTCATACCCGCTGCCTACGTTTTTCTTCCTCTTTCTCTTGTTTTAGTATGCTGTACTCTTCGAGCATGGAAAGAAGGCGAATCTAAATGAAGAGCATTTGGGAAACAGATTAGCTATGACTAGCCACTAACAATCAGCATAGAGGCCACTGAGGAGGCAGTACTAGAATCAACCACCTTTGCGATATTGACTTCTATATATAGAACAAAAGGAACATGGAACTTACACCATCATATAAGAATTCTATGCTCCTCTCTTTTTCCCATGCCATTGTTTTTGAAGCCAAAACCTCCACCATGCCTGCAGACAATGCACAGAGAAGTCACAAAATTGGGAAGGAGGCTATCTAAATTGTACAGCAGCCTGACACTGTACTGTCAACAAGATCTCTAACAAAAGTTTTGGAACAGAGCACTGTTCTGAATTGGTGTAACATTAGGAACTCTAACAAAAAAGTGTTTACCTGGAATTTTCGTGACTAAAGTACGAGCTTTCTCAGCACGCTTGAGAATTAAATGAGTGCCTCTTCCAGCATTGTATCTATTATCATCCTATACAACATAAACCGATGTAAGCAAGCAACCAAGAAAGAAAAGAAGAGTGAACAAGAAAGGAGCCAATTTGACACTTACCCTATTATATTCTTCAAGCCAGGATTCCTCCTCACATGCAGCTTTCCATTTCTCAACCTTGTCAAGAATTTCCTTCCTGCTAAAAGCTTCTTCCTTCACATTAGCCACTTGAAATTCAATCTGCTCCAAGAGACTTCCAGGGTCTACTTGTCCTGAATAAGATATGTTACAGACATTTTCTTTAGCATTTATATATAGATATGTATTTGAGACCCCTACTTGGGAGCCAGCTGGTTACCAGACTCTATGGCTTCAATTGCACAATCTATTGCTACATTTGCTTCGGGGACCATATGTGTCTTCTTACAGACTTCATCCAGCTCTGCCCTCTTTTTCAGAACTAGCTCCCTCATCTTGCTAACTTTCAACTCTTCCAATCGGGAGACTTCTGTTGCAACCTACATGTGTAAATTGTAATCATGTTTAGATATCCAGAACATCAAACAATACCAACAGAACAGACAAGAAAATTGTAAATTCTGAAACTCACAAAATTGAGGAAGTCCATAGAGAGGGTGTTTGGTTCAGTTATCTCATGTTCTGCAGCAGCTATATTGCATGTTACATTCTGAAATGCTTGCTGCTCTTCTATAGGGGTATCCATCAAGTTCCACAGCTCCAACATAGCAGTCGCAAGATCTTGAAGCTGCCAAAAAGAAATGGTATAGTTTCAGCTAATACAGTTCATCATTTGGCTGAAGTATACACAACAGACCTCAGTGACATTACCTTCTGCATTCTTTGTAATTTCACCTCTCGCAATCTATGAATTGCAGTTGCTAAACATTTGATGGATTCGTTACTTATTCTCTTTAATACATCAGCACTGCCGAATTGTGGATGAATCTCAGCAACTGTTTGCTCGAACTCCATACCAAGCACTACACAAAATGAGTTTATGGTATCTAGAGCCTCCTGAACCTGCTTCAAGCGATCATTCTGCAAAGGGACAGGTAAATCAGTAACCAGATAACATTGCATATAAGAACTTTATAACACACGGGAGCTCCTTTTCCCACCTTCTCAGTTTGAAGTGCATGGAGCTTTCTGTGCAACTCTTCCAGCTTCCTCAGGGACAAGTCACTTTCATCTACAGAAGCACCATCAGCTATTTCATTTATTTCATTTGAAATGTGCTGGATCTCTTCAAGAACTTGAAGAAACTGATTTCTTCTGTCAACCTTCCGCTTACGCATCTCCTCAAGTTGTGGGAGAATTGTTCCAAGTTCTGCCTTCAGGCTTCCAGTGCTTTGATCAGCCTGCAATCATTTACAAATGGAGAATAAATAAATTCAATTTAATATCTTGATTTATGCAAGCAATAAGAACAATGCTGAAATAACAGAATGATATTAAAGCAAGAGGAGAAAAGTGTAAAGACTGCTCAGGCACTTATCAACGGGACAGTTAACTTCAACAATGTGAAATAGCAGCCATAATACTTGAGAAAGTAGTTTGCATATGAATAGCTTTTTCAAGAAAATATCAGAAAGAAAAATACAGATTAGATTGAGAAATAATCCACTGTTCCTTCATTCTAACCTGCCTAATGTGTACTGGTCGCTCTCCCATTGAAGAACATATTGCCGCAAGCTCAGCTTCGGAGTCAGCAATTGCCTGTCTTAGCTGAGCTCTATTCCGGTTTGCCTTATCCACCTTTCTTCTGTATACTTCGAGACATTCTTGCTCAAGTTCATATAGCATCTTATCCCGATCGGTATCAGACTCGCCAACTTCATCCCAGATGATCTGATTGTTGGCATGAATCAATAAAGCAATAAATTCCTTGACTATACGTACACAAAAGCGAGCAACAGTGAACAGGAGACCACTGATTCAATCATGAGAGTTTACAAACCTGCAACTCGTTTAAAAGGGATCCACAAGTTGTCTCAGCCTGACCTAACGGACCATTCTTGACAACTGACATTTTGTGGACCTATAACTGCCAAGCAACGAAATACTAGACATGTTTAGTTTATGATGATCAGAGTGATTAACAGAATAAGCTTCTATACCCCTATGAGGCATATTATCACCCAAAAATATGCAACAAGCTATGCACTGTGGCTATTTTTTCACAGGACAATATAAATATTGAGCATAAACCTCCAGACCAATTACGCAAGGTGAAAAATCAGCTAACTGTAGCAGCAAGTTTCATGGAGCTATGACAAACCAGGATGAGATTTCCACAATGGAGCCAATTTAGGTAGTTCGTCCGAAAAAAAACAGCTAAACTCGTCATAAATTATGGCAAAGCTTATACAACTAAGAACATATTTGATCCACCTTACACAAAAAAAAACTCCCGGTCACCACAATTCCACCATAGCTATTGTTATCGAAGAGAGAACTAGAGCTTATAACCCTGGATGAATTCAGCCACGGAAACTGTAGCCAAAACCCCACCATGCTAGGAACAAGTTCTCGAGATCGTTAAAGAGGAAACTCAGCCTAATTGACTCTCGCTAGTTCCAGTCCTTCCCATAACCAGAAATTCCATCAAATTCAATCCGGACAGCTCCAAAAATGGGAACAAAATCAAACCCGCCCAACTGCTAACCATCAAACATGGCAAGTTCATAAAATACCCTCACAAATCCGAACCTACATAACGTAGAACAAAAACCTACCAAATAATCAAGCTACAATTTGTTTCTAAATTGAGCTCCACCCTTAAGCCTAATCCATACAACAACCAGAAAAAGCAACAGCACAGAGAAAATTGGAGGGAAACCTGATATCAGCCCAGTTCATAGCTCTCCACATTTTCCTCCGTTAAGGTTAAAACAGAAACAACAAAAAGGGAGGAAGTACATCATCTCAGGTACCTGGAAAACAGAACAAATCACAGGCGGAGAAGCCGCGGTGGAGGGGGGTGGAATGTCGACGGCCGGCGATGCAGGAAACTTTTCTCGGGAAAATTATCAAGCCTGGGAAAATTTTCGATTCTCTCTTGGAGGGAAGGAGATGGGTGTAGATTTTTTTTTGGCTGCCTTTTGAATCTTCGGGAGGAGGAGCGAGTAATGAGGGAGGGTTTCGCCTGTTTCAGGTTTTTTTTTTTTTAATTAATCCGAATAAAGGACCGTTTTGAGGAAAAAAGGCGCTCTTCGCTCCATCTCAAATTAATAATATTAATTTTTTATTATATAATAAATAGATGGATCCGATTTGAAATTCAAATTGCCTTTTGTGCAGTGAATTGATCATCTCCAGCCGTCCATCTTTTGCTTGTCTCCCGGCAACGGAGGAGATTGAATAACGGGATCTGATAGGAAAGAGCTGAAAAATGTCAGCGGCTAAATTGGATCGAATCAAATCTATAAATGGGCCTGATTTCAAGGTCCAGCCCACAATGCTTGCATGGTACGGGAAAAAAAGAAGAAAGCTCTATAAGTGGTAGTTACTAGTTAGCACCATGCCACCATCAAAGGCATTATCCAAAGTTGCAATTGATTGCTTACTCTCAAATCGTTGGAATCCAAGTAGGGCTTGGTGGGTAAATTTGGTCTTTCAATTCATTGTATTTGCCGTGGAAATAGATAAATAGATTGAATTTATGAATAAATAGATTTGTAGATTGGATTCATGGATGTAATGACATCTTAAATTTGGACTATTATGAAAGCGTTGAAATATTTACGAACTAAATTATAAATTACAAAAATATTTAGGTACCAAAATATAATTGGTACTAATATTTTCATTAGAATTTTGAAGTTTAGTTTATGTATCGAATTGTAAAATTATAAAATATAGAGATACTAAGCTGTAAATTTTCAATAATATTTCAATCCAATCCATTGGATTTGAATTTAATGAATATGGTTAGTAAAAAATTCAACTGATAGATCATATTGGATTCAAACTGTCACCTAGTTATTACATCTTTATTCCTTTTTTCGTTTTCTTTTCGTACAATGGCTTGAGTTTTCCAAGTTTGTGTTGCGGTCATGGTGATGCTTTTGGTAGGATGGTGATTAGGAGTGGAAATCGGTACAGTATCGGTATCCCAATACCAAATACCGAAATCCCGAATACCAAATTACACCCTAAAGTCAATTCCAATCCCAATCCCTAAATAATTTCGGTATCCCAATCCCAATCCTTAAATATACCGGTATCCCAATCGGTATTATCAAATACGGAATTAATTACCTTTACAATTAATAATTAAATATATAAATTAGATTTTATTGTTTAATTTAGGGAAAAAGACTAAACAAAGAGTCTTGAATTAGGATATTATTAAGGAGAATGGAGGAGAGGAGACATCTCAAGTTCTTGTCATTGGTAATCTTTAATTTGACGAATTGGAGGTTGACAAACGACTATTAATAGTGATGGAATGATCTATGTATAATTAAATGACACTTTTGGTGGTTGAGGGGTCGTATAGTAGTGAATGAGGGAGTCTAGTTGAGAGGATAGAATACACACTAGCTTATATTTCGGTATTGATCGGTAATTCGGTATATACCGATCCCAATCCCGTAATCCCTAATACCGAATAACAAATAAAATTCAATCCCAATCCCAATCCCAAAAAATAATTCGTGTATTCGGTAATACCAAATATAGACAAATTCGGTACGATATTCGGTATATCCCAAATACCGGTACCAAACTTCCAGCCCTAATGGTGATAGATGGTGGTAGACAAGGACAAATGGTGATTATATATTTTCATACTATCATATTATACTCCTTTCATAGTACCATGATAGTAATATTTTATGTTAGAAAAGCTTCGATTTTGTTAGAAAATAAAAATACATCAAAGTGGATACTATTTTGTAAGATACAATTAATCTCATTTAAAAAAGAAATAAAAATCTGAAAAAAATACAGTCCACTATATTTTGATGACTACTATTCGCGACGACTTTGATTGTCGTCCCCATAAATCTAGCAGTACTTGAGACTCGTGACAAAATCGTACCTCTCGTACCGAACACAACACATCTCCGACGATGCCTGAGCTCCGACCCTGTCACGGCAGCGGTCTTGTACGAACTCGCCCGCCTGCAACAAACACTCGTAGCATTCTTTACCGATGTAGCCTGGGCCGCAAGACGCGTAGCTGAAGAGCTCAATATCTGACGAATGATCACGGCTGTAACGTCTTTGGTAGCAGACGCCGGTCCTGCCGCCGGGAAACCGATGGGCGAACTCGTTAGTGATGTCAGTCAGTACGGACGGCTGGACGCGCGACGAACCGATAGGCAAGCTGTCTTCGTTGCAGAGGTGGTTAAAGGAGGGGTCATACGTTCCCCCGGCAGGAAGGCATACTTGATGGTGATCGTTTTGATCTTCGGTGACGGCGAAAGCAAAGCTTTTAGTGACGAAGAACCCGGCCGTCGACGTAATTGCCACAATCATGAGAAGTTGGACCTCGAAGCGATTCCGAGCCATTGATATATGTACCTAACGACGGCACTATGTATATATATTTTCCCTGATACATGAAAGTCTTGAATGATTAATTGTATCCAACTGAAAGGCATCTTTTGAAAGAATTGTGGCCGGCCAACACAAAGTTAGGTGGCCGGCCGTGGTATCAACTTTTTGTGAGGATTTTGATTAAACGAGGGCTGTTCATCACCAGCAAGTGAAAAGAAAGAGTATGTCACGTAACATTTACTATTACTATAACTAATTAAACTTAGGAAGAGGCTAGCTAGGAGATCGAGTAAGGAAGAAGTGTAACTGGGTCTGGGTGGGATTTATGGCCAATATTATTATTACTATCAATGTAATCCTTCTGTAATGTAATGCCTCAATTCAGTCCATCCATCGTAATCATTGATTATGATCTTTCACAGGCAGGGGATGTGAATACTGTTTGAGGAAAATAAATTCTAGTGTAGGTTACCGAGTGATTATAATAAAGTTATTATATACATGATTTTGTCTGCAATACTAGTCTCTTTTTTTTATACATTCACCGCACTCTTGATGAGAAGGGTGAAACAACGTCAATTATCATTTGTGATATGATGGGCAATAAAAAAAATATTAATTTGAAGAAAAATCATTCGAGATTTACTTTGATTTGAAGAATTTAGGGTTAGTGATTTTGGATTAAGATTTTTAATTTGGGAATTTATGGCTAATTAAGATTCAAAAATGAAGGTTGAGGACTTAGGGTAATGTATTAATTAGATATAATCTTATGTTATATCATCATATTATAATTTTTGTACCAAAAATATCATATTAGACTTTCTATCAATAAATTTCAAAAGCTAATGTCTTATTATTAAGTATTAACATAGTGACACATAAACAAAGTCAAAGAATTCGCACAAATTAAATAATATCGTTTTTACGTGTGAATGGAGCAGTGTTGACCATTTAATCTCAACTCTCAAGAGATTCAATCTTGGATTCATGTGCTCAACTCGGTTTCTCTTTGCATGATCATTGGGGCGAGATAGCTTGACTACCCCTAAAGGGGTTGGAAAAATGACACTCGCTATTAATTATAGGAATTATAAGGTAATTAATTTCTATTGCATTTAATAATCTGTCTGAATTAAAAACTCATATAAATTACTTTCCTTTTTTCAGTGTAATGGTAGTTGTACCAATACAATGATATTTGTGTACAAAGACAGTGGGGAATGTGTTAGCCTGGTTACTCTTTTTTGAGTAATCATCGTGGCTACCCTAAATCTAGCCATTGAGATTAAGTGAATTGAATCTGATGGCTCATCTTGCTGGAGGGCTTCTTCGGTAAAGAACCACAGGATCCACTCCCTAACTGACGACGTATTATTAGGAGCTAAATCAATGGGCTCTTTCCCTATTTGAATCTTTCATTCTTTTTGGTTTTTCTTCCTCAGCGCCTCTCCCAGGAACGGTTAAGGAAGATCGGCGCCGTTCCTATTCTCGTCGCCGCAGTCCCTATCTCGTCTTCCGCAGTCCCTCTCCAGCGCCGGAAATTCTCTTCCGTCGCTGCAATTCCTCTCCCGTCGCCGCAGTCCCCCTCCGGCGCCGCAATTCCTCTCCCGTCGCCGCAGTCCCCCTCCGGCGCCGCAAGCTCTCTCCCCGGCGCAGCGGGAGACGTTTCGGCAAGATCTGTGAAGTTTGGTGTGGAATTGAAGTTTTTAGTTGGAATGGTAGATTTCGTGTTGTTTGGAATAGTAGCTTCTTTTCATGAATTGGTAGTGATCTGCAAAATTGTGATGTTTGGTGTGGAATGATAGTGTTTAGTTGGAATGGTAGGTTTTTTTCTCGCATTGGTAGTGACCTGCATACCTGTGATGTTTGGTGTGGAATGGTAGTGTTCAGTTCTAGTAGTACTGTGGTGTTCTACGCAACGGTAGTAGTTTTGTGTGGTATGGTAGTGTTCAGTTTCAGTAGTAGTAGTGGTTACCTTTCCAGACATCACTAACATTGGTTAATGTTGCTACCTTCCATTTTTTGATTTTAGTAATGGCAAGAACCAAGAACCCAAATCGTGGGGCTTCAAAGAGCAAGAAACAATGAATAACTACCATTGCAGTAGGTCATATTACCACAAACGAAACACTACCGTTACAGCATCTGATAACTACAGTGCGGTAACTACCATTGCAATTACTAATCACTACCATAACAACTGATTTAGCTTCTTGCTGAGGAAGAAAAACCTAGGGCAGCGTGCCCACTGCAGAATTCTTAGGGTAGCCCATTGATTTATTAGTTGAGGATTAGATAGCTGAGGAAGAAAAACCAAAAAGTTGAGGAATAGTTGAGGATTTAGTTTCAATGGGCTCTCTAGGGCAGCGTGCCCACTGCAAAATTCTATTCCTGCCGTAATTTTTGGTATAACAAACTCCTATTGTGATTAAAACTCCATATATTTAGTTTCCGTAATTATCTCTCCTCTTTCTAATTAATTGCATTATTAAAATGGTAGTTGATAATAACTAGGATGCAAAATACCTCTATTATCCCTAGTAACCATCGTGGATACTAAAACTTGGTATCCACCATAACCCCTCCCAAGACAGTGGTAGTTGTATCAGTGCAATGCTTGTTCAAAAAAAGAATATAATTAATATGAGTTCAGTGTACATGTGCAATGAT